ATTAATTCAATTGAGATGAAGAAAACAGTTCAAAGAATTAACGAATCAAAAAGCTGATTCTTTGAAAGATTACATAAAATTGATAAGCCCCTAGCAAACCTCATCAAAAAGAGGAAAGAAAAATTTCAAATACAAGCAATAAGGAATGAAAAGGGTAGAAATTCCACAGACCCAGTGGAAATTCAGAAGATTATCAATAGCTACTTTGAGAATCTTTACGCTCACAGAATAGAAGATGCAGATGAAATGGACAGATTCCTAGAAAGGTACAAATTACCAAAGAAGACATAACAACTCTCAATAACCCAATAACAGATAATGAAATATGAAATGTAATAAAAAGTCTACCAACAAAGAAGTCCGGGTCCTGATGGATTCACAGCTGAACTCTACAAGAAATTCACAAAAGATATAATCCCTGCACTCCTCAAACTCTTTAATGAAATCGAAGAGGAAACAGTTACCCTAAAATCACTCCTGGAGCCAAGGATTATACTGATACCAAAACCAGGGAAAGACACATCTAAAAAAGAGAACTACAGGCCAATCTCCCCCATGAAAATAGATGCAAAAATCCTCAATGAAATCCTAGCAAATAGAATACAGCAAATCATCATGAAGATCATACACCATGACCAGGTAGGATTCATCCCAGGGATGCAAGGATGATTCAATATTCGAAAATCTAGAAATGTAATACACTATTATCAATAGAGAAAGGCTTTTGACAAAGTCCAATACTCATTCATTTTCAAAGTCCTACAGGAAATTGGAATAGAAGGCCTCTACTTCAATGTGATAAAAGCCATCTTTGACAACCCAATGGCTAATATAATTCTCAATGGGGAAAAACTGAAATCTTATACTCTCAAATCTGGTACAAGACAAGGATGTCCTCTATCACCCCTACTATTCAATATAGTTCTGGAATCATTAGCTAGAGCCATTAGAGAAGGAGAAATAAAGGGAATAAGAATTAGTAAAGAAGAAGCTAAATTATCATTATTTGCAGATGACATGATACTTTACTTGAAAGACCCAAAACCCAAGAAGCTACTAGAATTGATACACAAATTCAGTGGCATAGCAGGATACAAAGTCAAAACGCAAAAGTCAACAGCATTCCTCTACACAGATAAAAACATTGAGACGGAATTTAGAGAAACAATACCTTTTACAATAGCACCGAGGAAAATGAAATACCTAGGAATTCATCTAACTAAAGAAGTCAAAGATCTTTTCATGGAAAATTACAGTACTCTGAAAAAAGATAGTAGAGGATTTCAAAAAATGAAAAGATATTCCGTGCTCCTTAGGAAGAACCGACATCGTGAAGATAGCCATAAAATTGTTGTACAGATTTAATGAAATCCCTATCAAGACTACCACTGACATACCTCACAGACCTAGAGAAATCATTCTTAAAATTTATTTTTTTTTTGGGCTGGTGAGATGGCTCAGTGGTCTAAAGCACCTACTTAGACCAAGCTTAGCAAAGAACATAGACCGCGGTTCAATCCCCCAGCACCACATGCCAGCCAGCCCCGCCCCCAAGGCGGGCTGAGCTG